AGTCACTGGGTTATATGAGTACCCATCTCCTGATAAATAAGTGAAAAGCAATAGGATACACTGGAGGATATGAGGAAGCCATTTGGTTTAAAACTAATTTGACCTGACCTTGTTTTTCCAAAAGGGCCTGACGTGGCCTGTTGAGCATGCATTGTACATCTGCTTTAAACATTTACAATGTCCCAAAGACAAGAGTGATGCCCTTAAAGATAGGGATGTAGCTTCCCCCTACACTGGCATTTCCTTAAGGATAAGCATCTCTTCCTGGAAACTAAGGATTAATTACCGACCTGCTGTGCTCACCTTGTGACCACTGACCTGCTGTGCCAGCTAAGCATCTGTGACAGTGGTAAAAGAGACATTCCTGTCATATGTGATGTATGCTCTTTGTTCCAAGACAGTATATAACCACTCTGTACACCCCACTGCTTTGCTGTACAAGAACATATTGATTAACCCCTGGGCTACAGTCCTCAGACCTGACTCATAATAAACTCACCACAAATTTTGATTATAGATTGATTATGGATCATTTGCATCGACGCTCCTTACCGTTCCCCTTCTCCATATCCTGCAACAAGTGGCCTCAGACTGGCTCGGGTCCTCATGTGTCAAGTGGGAGAGCAGCTGCCCTGCTTCTCCACAGGGTTCTTATAAAGCTCAAATGAGGTCACATCGGTGTGTCTGCCCGCCTGTCCTGTCCTTCCGGCCAGATCCTGTATGTCCCTCCTTCTTTGCGGGAGGACTTGCTTCTACTCTGTCCCATGTTTCCCTTCTCTGACTTCTATCTTTCGGTTCTTATTTTCACCAAACATCTTTTATACTGCTTCTGATATGCTCAAGGACTAGTAAGAAACAGGAGTGTTTATTATTACCCTTGTATACATTGAAGATGGCACTGGTACATAGTTTCAAGCACATAACAAGGATCTAGAAGACAATGACAGTTCTAGAATTTCCACTTAATGAAAATTACAGTAAAAATACAAATCAACAAGTTTTGAAGGAGGATCAGCCAGTCTTTTTACTCAGATTGTATTTTTATTTGGACTGGCATGGTGGGATCACTAATGAAGTTTAGGGTACTTATCTTGAAATAGTGGCAGCAGTAACTGATTTTTACTTCCTGTACTGACAACTTTAATCAATATGTCCTGTAATTTATTAGGATAGGTTATTAGAGTTTGGAGGAGACGTTAGGTTTATTGGAGTTTGGAGAGGTATATATCAAAGGATCAGGAAGGACAGAGAAGCTATACTGTAGCCCAGAAAAATATATTTCCATTCAAAACTAAAATTTGTCAAATAAAGGACTCTGGTTAAAATTTAAAAAACAACAACAAGAAGAACACCAGAAACATATATGTGGACGCAAATCCACTGGAAAAGAACACAGTATACTACTAAGCTGAAACAGAATTGGATGGTCAAAGGGACTTTTGCCTATTCTGATCAAAAGGAACTTGCACCTTGGAGTCATTCTTAACTATTTTTTGGTCTCACATTCCCCATCCAGTTAAACATCAGCAAATCCTATCAGATTAACCTTTTACAGAATATCCAGAATCCATCCACTGTTCATCACCTCCACCCCAATTGATATAGTCATTGTCTTCCAAAATTGTTGACCACAACCCACAACAAGAAATATATTTTTACAACATGACCCATTATACCTGAATATATATAAACAACAAACAAAAACTTCACCAAACATTACTTTCTTCTTCTAAATGCACTGTGCTCTGATATCTTCTATTCCATTATAATTCATTTTTAAAAGTACTGGTCACACACACCAAAAAATGCTGGCCATGGAATCCGACACTAAGATGGAAGTTGGGATGCAAGATTAGGGACAAACACCTGTGTGGTCAAACTGCAAGGCCGGCCCTGGGAAGCCTTGGCCTATCAGGCGGGAAGCTCGGAGGGCCTGTCAGAAGAACCTCCACTTCACTTAGTTTACCAGTGTGGGCTGCCTTCAGACCGTGTGGGAGGCTGACTGCTGACTGCACTCCCCAAAGCTGGGCAGCAAGTCCTTCCTCACAGGAGGATTGGCATGTCTCCTTGGCCACCATAGGACCCACTATATTGATTTCATAGTCAACCAAGGAATTGTGAATCACAATTTAAACTGATCTGTTTCCATTCTTGCCCTTCTACAGCTTATTTTACACACAGTAGCCAGAGTAATCCTTTAAAAATGTAAATCACATCTCTCTCTTACTCAAAACCTCCCACTAATTTCCACTTAAAATCAAATCCCACAAAGGGCCAATAAGCATATTAAAAGATGCTCAACATCACTAATCATTAGGGAAATGCAAATCAAAACCACAATGAGATATAACTTCACACTCAATAGGATGGTTATTGAAAAAACAAGCAAACAGGAAATAACAAGCATTGGTGAGTAGGCGGAGAAATTGGAACCCTTATGCAGCTGCTGTGGAAAACAGTTCCTCTTTAGGGCCTGCCTGGTGGCGTAGTGGTTAAGTTTGCACACTCTGCTTCGGCAGCCCGAGGTTCACAGGTTCAGATCCCGGGCACAGACCTAAGTACCGCTTGTCAAGCCATGCTGTGGCAGGTGTCCCACATATAAAGTAGAGGAAGATGGGCACAGACATTAGCCCAGGGCCAATCTTCCTCAGCAAAAAGAGGAGGATTGGCAATGGATGTTAGCTCAGGGCTAGTCTTCCTCACCAAAAAAAAAAAGTTAAACATAGAATTACCAGATGATCAAGCAATCCCACTTCTGAGTGTATACCTATGGGAAGTGAAAGCAGGGACTCTAACAGATATTTCATTATTCACAATAGCCAAAAGGTGGAAACAACCCAAGTGTTCATTAACAAATGAATGGATAAACAAAATGTGGTCTATACATACAATGGAATATTATTCAGCCTTTAAAAAGAAGGAAATTCTGACACACACTACAACATGGATGAACCTGGAGGGCATTATGTGAAGTGAAATAAGCCAGTGACAGAAGGACAAATACTGTATGATTATACTTCTATGAGGTACTTAGAGTAGTCAAATTCATAGAGATAAAAAGTAGAATAGTGGTTCCTAGGGGCTGGAGGGAAGAGGGAATGGAGAGCTGTTGAATGGGTACAGAGTTTCAGTTTGGGAAGATGGAAACTTTCTGGAGATGGATGGTGGTGATAATTGCACAACAATGTGAATGTACTTAATGCCACTGAACTATACATTTAAAAATGGTTAAAATGATGGGGCCAGCCCGTGGCTCAGCGGTTAAGTGCGCGCACTCCGCTACTGGCGGCCCGGGTTCGGATTCCGGGCGCACACCAAGGCACCGCTTCTCCGGCCATGCTGAGGCAGCGTCCCACATACAGCAATTAGAAGGAAGTGCAACTATGACATACAACTATCTACTGGGGCTTTGGGGGAAAAAAAGGAGGAGGATTGGCAATGGATGTTAGCTCAGGGCCGGTCTTCCTCAGCAAAAAGAGGAGGATTGGCATGGATGTTAGCTCAGGGCTGATCTTCCTCACAAAAAAAAAATAAAATAAAATAAAATAAATGGTTAAAACAGTAAATTTTATGACTATTTTACCACGATTAAAAATAAATAAATAAAACCCCAAATTATTACCATGGCACCAGCTTCCTCTTTAACCTTATCACCTACCAATTCCTTCCCCTCATCCACAGGGCTTTAGTCATTGGCATCCCTGCTGAACCAAGAACATATATGCACCTCTTGTTCTCTCTACCTGGCATGCATTTTCATCTTTCAGGTCTCTGCTCAAATAGCCTCCAGAAAAGCCTTCCTGACTATCTACTGTAAAGGGTGAAAAATAATTTTCTCTCTACCCTTCTGAGTTCTTGGCTGAGACCCCTGTAATAAAAGACAGATTAACAAGAAAAAAACAACAGAGGTTTATTAATATGTATACCTCATGAATGCATGGGAGATACCTAGGGAAAAATTAGTAATTCCCTGAGGTTGCTTAGAATTCAGCCTTAAATACCATCTTAATAGGGAAAGGCGAGTGGGGACATAGGCCTCTTAGGGGAGGGTAAATGATTTTTTGGAAAGAAGAATGGGTCTTTAGAAGAATAGATGGAAGGTATGATAGTTTGACAGAACTTGTCTGGGTGTGGTGTCCACTTCTACTCTGGAAACTCCCAGGGAGGGGATTTATGACACTTGAGTTCCTTTTGGAGGATCTGTCTTGAGGCAGAGAAGTGGAGCTCAGAGAAAGCTTCTCCCTGCGTTTGCTGTTTTTCAAGTGACTACGGCTCAAAATCAATACATATACCAAAGCAGCACGTTTTGGAGTGGCCTGTCCTGAACACCCACAGTCATATTTTAGGGTGATATATTCAGCTACCTTTCACTAGAATGTCAACTCCGTGACGCAGAGACTTTGTTTTATTTATTGCTGTGAGCCAGCCCGGCACATAATAGGAAGTCAGTGAGTATCTGTTAAATGAACGTTTACATTTCCCATAAGGTCTACATATATTTCTTGTATAATTAGAATTTTAATTTCAAAAGACAAAAACCCTGGATTACTTAAATTCTGCGGTATAAACTCTTAGCATCCAGAAGAAAAGAAATGTGTACAAGGAACATAAATGCCCTTAAAATGTTAACGTGGAGCACCGGAGGCCAGTTCCCTCCAGATGTGCGCCCAGAACTGCCGGCCAGCTGCCCTCATCCACTACTTCTAAGACTCCGTCCAAAAGCAGGGAGAGCCAAGTCCCCTCCTGACGAGATCTGACACCGCCAGGTTGCGCCGAAGTACCAACCACAAGCATCCGGAGAGGCCTACGATGAGATGACGTATGGCAACCCCGGAAACCCTAGGGAGAGCGGCGTAGGCTCCGGTAGCCGAGCGCCTGCCTAGAACGGCCAGGGCGAGGCCGCCGGCCCGGGGCTCTCTGGCCCGCACCTCTATGGTAGGACGCGAGAAAACCGGAAGTGGCCCCGGCGGGGGGAGGGAGCGAGGGGCGGGCCCGGGGGCGGGGCCTCCGCTGCGGACCGAGGTGAGATGGCGGCCACTGAGGGTGTCGGGGAGGCCGCGCAGGGCGGCGAGCCGGGTCAGCCGGAGCCGCCGCCGCCGCCGCCGCCCCAGCAGCAGCAGCAGCAGCAGGAAGATGCGATGGCGGCCCAGGCCGGAGACGCAGTGGCGTCCGCCATGGACGACGGGTTCCTGAGCCTGGACTCGCCCACCTACGTCCTGTACAGGTAACGCCCACAGCGTGCCGCCGCGTCCGAGGCCCTGGCCCCGAGGGCGCGCTCCACCGGCGCGCTCCCGGGTCGGCGCCCCGGGCCCGAGTTGCGCGGCC